AGTTCCGGTTCCGGTTCTTTGTGCAGCTGCAGCAGCGGCTCCGGGGAAGATGGCGGCCCGGGCGGGTTTCCAGTCTGTGGCTCCGAGCGGCGGCGCCGGAGCCTCAGGAGGGGCGGGCGCAGCGGCTGCCTTGGGCCCAGGCGGGACGCCGGGGCCTCCCGTGCGAATGGGCCCGGCGCCGGGTCAAGGGCTGTACCGCTCCCCGATGCCCGGAGCGGCCTATCCAGTGAGTGGGGCAGGAGGAGGGGCGCGCGGTCCGGGGGCGGGGCCGAGCGAAGGCCTGGGAGTGACAGCAGTAGGGGGAGAAGTAGGAGGGACTCCCTTGGGAGGGATTTGGGCCATGAGTAGGGTTGGGGAAGGCAGTGCGGAAGAAAGGAGAGGCAGTTAGCATCCCTACCTGCTCCTTGGAGCATTGTTTCCGTGGGGAGTTGGGGTACAGAACCAGGGTGGTTGAAGTGGGGCCAAGGGTAGGCAGATGAGGGCTGGAGTGCAAAAGGGCTTGGGCCTCTCCAGTGCCCAGAGGAACACAGAAGGTAGCTGGCACATTGAGGTCAGCTTTCAAGGATATCGTAGCTGGCAGTACTGAGTAAATGTGGAACTAGAGGAGGTGTCCAATGTGTCAGGTACAAAATAGACTAGGGAGAATTTGAGTGTAATCTGGCTCTTGGCTTTCGAGTTGTATTCTCATAGAATCAGGACTGGAGCAGAAAAAGCTTCAGTTTTCTATATTTTAAAGAGGCAGAGGACTCTTCCCATTGTGCTCTATGGCCTCTCTCCACCCCCACCCTTCCCGCCTTGTTTCATTCAAATAACTCAAGAATCCCCCACTTTTCCTTTTTTGATGTGATTGGTTGGGGAAGCCATGACATCTCTGTGTCCTCTCCCCTCTGTAGAGACCAGGTATGCTACCAGGCAGCAGACTGACACCTCAGGGACCTTCCATGGGACCCCCTGGCTATGCGGGGAATCCTTCAGTCCGACCTGGCCTTGCCCAGTCAGGGATGGACCAGTCCCGCAAGAGACCTGCACCTCAGCAGATCCAGCAAGTACAGCAGCAGGCGGTCCAAAATCGAAACCACAAGTAAGATGACCCCGGGCATGAGGGAGGGAGGGGGCCTGTGAGAACTCAGGTGGTGGGAGTATCTAAACCAAGAAGTGGTGGTGCTGTCAGCAGATGGTGCTTATTCTTGAGACAGCCTCATGTTGGTTGGAGGATTGGGGGTATATCTTTGATTTGAGAGAAGCTTTGCAGTCCCTTCACTTTACTATAAATGGAGGTGCTGACAGCCTGTCTTCACATTCTGGCTAGTTCCATCCCAACCTGATAACAGTATTTATTTTGAACAGTGCAAAGAAAAAGAAGATGGCTGACAAAATTCTACCTCAAAGGGTGAGTCCAAGCTGTAGGTTTTTCTGAGGGTGCAGTGCATTTGAAAATAGAGTTGATCAGCTCTATATACCTATGATACCTTTCTGTTCCTAAGATTCGTGAACTGGTACCAGAATCCCAGGCCTATATGGATCTCTTGGCTTTTGAAAGGAAACTGGACCAGACTATCATGAGGAAACGGCTAGATATCCAGGAGGCCTTGAAACGTCCCATCAAGGTAATGCAGGAGTGCACTTCGCAGATAGCCAAAGGAGGGGACTTGGGAACCTTCAACAGGCTTAAGATGAGAATTCAGAGGCGCAGCACAGCTCTCCTTGGCATTTAAATTACATCTTCCCCTTCCGCCTACAATCAGAATTACGTTAAAGGCATGAGAACAGAACAGCAGAGGGGGAGGGGCTTTTGATATCTATTGTACCAGAAATATACCCTGTCCATGTTTTTGCTCTTAACTGATCTCTCACCTTGGGAACTTCACACCTTCCATTACTTTGTGCATCTGGTATCTCAGTGTATGCACTTGCATTTGGGTCAGTGGCCTGTAGTCCTAGATGGAATCTCAATGCACCAACCCCAGGGACTGAGTAGACAGCAAGTCAGTCTGTTATGAGTAATTTGAGGATTTGGGGAGACCTGTCTTCAACATCAAACCACTGAAGCCCCACCATCAATTCTGTTTCTGTCTTCCTCAGCAAAAACGGAAGCTGCGGATTTTCATTTCTAACACTTTCAATCCAGCTAAGTCAGATGCCGAGGATGGGGAAGGAACAGTGGCTTCCTGGGAGCTTCGGGTAGAAGGACGGCTCCTGGAAGATGTGAGTTCAAGGTTCATTATGGTCGGTGTCTAGGCTGGGAGCTGCTGGGAGCAAGTATCATTGTCTGGTTGGCAGAAAGCCTGACTGGTGCTCACAGCTCCTGTTGGGAACAGCAAGGAGAGAGTCACTGTGTTCTCTGTGCTAAAACACAATCGTTCTATGTGTTAGTTCTCACAGCTTGGCCCTCACTGTGGTATCATATTGAGAATCTTATTGTCCTGGGGTTTGATTTGTTGTTTACCTTCCTCCTGATGCTGCTGGCCATTGAATTTAGCAGTATGTGCAGATTGTTCTATTAGATGTATGTGTGTGTGTGTGTGTTTTTTAAATCAGGCGAATTTGCACTTAGCATTTGAGGCCATGCTTTCCTCTCTTGAGTTCCTGAGGTCCTTGATTCCTATTGTGGCATCTCCATCTTCCCAACTTTTGTTGGAGATATATCATATCTCCAATATATTTATCTAACAAGCCCTTTGTTACTTCATGGGGAGCATCAGCTGACAGGTGAGAGCCCTCAAATTTCCCACCTCAGAAGCTCCTTGGGGAAGCTCACTTTTTCTTACATTCACTAGCTCCGTATTTTTAGCTGTTTACAGGCAAGCTAATTTGAATGCATTTTTGCAGGAGAACCAGAGCTCAGTGTCAGAGCCTCCACCTTCTCTACATAGGTCCAGTCTGTGTGCTGGTGGTATCATTCTATTCATATAAAGCTGTTTTTTTGGCTGCTTATTGTGTCAGTCATTTCTTCTCTAGAGTTGGATTTTCTTCTGTTCAGACTCGCTTTGTTACGTGCAGTAGTTTGATTTGACTTGCCTCATTTCCCTTGGGGAAACGAAGTGGATAAGTCAGTAACTCTGTACGTGTTATAGACTGCTTCAGGGTTCTGCTGCTACTGTGACTTGTTTAATACTTATAGACATTTACTTTGCCGTATTCTAAGGAGTATTCAAAAGACATTTTTGAATTTTTCCTATTGCTCTAGTGGGTTTTTTTTTAATGGGACTTTGTCTTGGGGAATTTCTTTTGTGCTTTTCTAACATGAACTCTTCTTTCTCTCCTCTAGTCAGCCTTGTCCAAATATGATGCTACCAAACAAAAGAGGAAGTTTTCTTCCTTTTTTAAGTCTTTGGTGATCGAACTGGACAAAGACCTGTATGGGCCAGACAACCATCTGGTAGAAGTGAGTAGTTCTGTGCTCCAGACTTTAACTCTGTGACTGAAAGATGATAGACTTGGGAGCCAAACTATCATGCCTAGGGAGAGAGGGACATATAAAGGGTTACCCCAAGCTTATGATACCACCATCGTAGTCTGCACATTGACCTCCAGGTGGCACTAGCTGTTTAGTCCTGGTACTATTTAGACCCAAGAGCTCTTGCAGTCTGACTTGTTCTACCTTTTTCATGTTACTATCCTGGTTGCTGCCACCACTTTAAAGTGAAATTCTCTTATATATGCCAGGCCATCTCTGCATTTTGCTTATTAATAATGGTGAGATACAGTTATCCACACAATATTCATACTTTTTCCTGGTAGCAGATGCTGTAATTAAGGGGGTTAACTGATAGGGTTCTAGTCCTTGCCAAGGTTACCAGTATAGATCTGGGACTTCTTTTTGGTCCCTTCTCTGTTTAGATTAAATTCCAAATCATCGAGAATCCTTTATTATAATGCCTGACTATGCATATGTTCTGAAAATCATGTTAGCGACAATGGTCTTGGGATACAGTCAAAACCAGAATGAGATGGTCCAAAATTCCAGGTGAACTTGACCTGCTCCTTTCTTTGCCAGTGTAGTTGCCCCTTAACCTCAACCACTAAGAGACATGGGATGGTCTTTATCATCTAATAAGGGAAGTAAGTCATAGAATCAAAAGAACTTTGTAAATATATTTAATTTAACTTTATAGCAGTGGAGCATAGTGATTAAGAATGTAGACTGTAGATCAGACACACCAGAGCTCAAATCCCAGCTTCACCCTTTACTGGCTGTTTGACCTTAGGCGAATTACTTTACCCTTCTAAGCATTAGTTTTCTCATCTGTAAAATAGGTTTAATTGTGTCTAGCTTGTATGGGTATTGTGGGAATTAATGAGATAATCCAAGTAAATGCCTTCAAACACTTAGAGAAAGTAAGTACTCAATAAATGATAGCTATGTTATTTTATATGCACATATGTATTATCCATTGTGTGGATAAAATTATCACTGGAAATTTAGGCTAATTCAGATGTGACCCTGAACAGTTAGAATTACAAGATTGAGCTACTTAAACCCAGACAATAATCTCAAAGCTATATTCAGTTTTAAAAAATGTCTCATGCTATTGCTCTTCCAGTAGCCTCAGTAATCAAAGTTGAATATTCAGTCATTACAGAAGCTCTTCCCTCCCACCCCAGCTCTTCCTCTGGGAGAGCACCCCCTGACATCTTCCTCTCTGTAGTGGCACAGGACCGCCACTACCCAGGAGACAGATGGCTTCCAGGTGAAGCGGCCAGGAGACGTGAATGTACGGTGTACTGTCCTACTGATGCTGGATTATCAGGTATTCTGTGGTGGTGTGAGGGCGTTCAGCTTTCACAGCCACATCCCATTGGCAGTCTGACATTTAAAAGTTTTAAGTCTAGTTGTAGATAATTTGCCACCAGACTTCAAGTTACTTAAATCTAGGGATAAGTTCTTAAAATCATTTCTGAGTTCCTCCTAGTGTTTTTCTATCTCATAAAAAGCACGACATCACTGTTGAATGACTTGAATGTAGGGTCACACTAAGCGCCCCAATATGTATATAGACCCAGCTCACTAGCTTCATCTTTATATTCTTTTGTTCTCTGTAGCCTCCCCAGTTTAAATTAGACCCTCGCCTGGCTCGGCTCCTGGGCATCCACACCCAGACCCGTCCAGTGATCATTCAAGCACTGTGGCAATATATTAAGACACATAAACTCCAGGACCCTCATGAACGGGAATTTGTCATCTGTGACAAGTACCTCCAGCAGGTAAGAAAAAGACCCATTCTTATGCTAGTGTCCATTGGAGCACTAGTTGTACCCAAAATGCCAACTTCTTAGCTGCTTCTCCTCTTTCCCACAGATCTTTGAGTCCCAACGTATGAAGTTTTCAGAGATCCCCCAACGACTCCACGCCTTGCTTATGCCACCAGAGCCCATCATCATTAATCATGTCATCAGGTTAGCATGTATATGAGATCTTGGCAGTGGTGTACTGAGCTCGTTTGTACCAGCCTGTACCAGTTGTCAAATTTTCAGAAATTTTGCAAGCAGGTGGTTAATCACAGCTGTTATTAAAATTACGTAAATTTACAATTAAATATACATGTTAAAAGTGAGGATAATTATACTCAAAAACATCATTTCTTAACCATCGTTATTAATATTCGTGTTTTTGAGGTTTCTTATATCTATTTTGTCTGTATGGTGGAAGTACTATATAATGTATAATTCCTTGATCAGTGATGTAATGTTGAAATTAACCATATTGGGAATATGTAAACCACAGAAATTGGCAAATGCTACAGATCAGGGCTTTTTTCCCTTCCTCTTTTGGAGAATCAATTGTTAGATATTTACCAGCTCATCACTGATGGTGTACCATCTTTTCTGTGGATGGTAGGACATTCCAGTCTGAGAGTCCCAACTCTGTTACCTCCATCCATGTTTTTGTTCAGAAGATGGATGAGCAAGGCATCTCTAGGCAGATATAGAGTAAAGGAAGGCACTTCTTCCTCAAAGCAGCATGTCTCTGGTTGGATATAGTTTGGCCTTCTTTCCCTTACTCCATATTAATTCCAGAAAAGCTCTTCTTTTCATTTGACCTTGAACCATTACTCAGCCGGTAGTAACTCCTATAATCTATCCATTGCATTAGTAGAAGCAGGTCTGTACTGTATTCCTGGGCTTAAAGTTAGGCCACATTTTATTTTGCGTGGTGTGGGTTTTATTTGAATTTATTTTCAGGGTCAATTTCAGTTTAACAGGGAGAAAAATACACAAGATACTATAGTATAGTGGTTTTCTTTGGAAAAGGAGAAACTTACTTTTCACTGAATATCTTTTGTACCACTTGAATTTTTACCATTCACTTTTTTAAAAAATCTGTTATATACAATAAATCACACCTATTTGGGTAAACAAATATACCCTGTAGCTACCTACCACTGCAAGAAAGGTACAGAATGTTTCTGTCACATCCAAAAGTTCTCTTGTGCCCTTTGGCAGTCAACTCCTTTTCCTTCATTCTTGGGCCATCTTTCTGACTTTCTATGATTAGGTCTTAGGGGATAAGCCCTTTACAAGGCCCCTTTGGTTTCCTCCCTAGTGTTGACCCGAACGATCAGAAAAAGACAGCTTGTTACGACATCGATGTGGAAGTGGATGATACCTTGAAGACCCAGATGAATTCTTTTCTGCTGTCCACTGCCAGCCAACAGGAGATTGCTACTCTAGACAACAAGGTAGGCACCTCTGCCTTAGGTCATTTAGGTGCCACCAGCTCTCTATCATGGCTTCTAGGTTGCCTTTTGATTCTTGGTATTCAAAATACAGTGACACCCCGTATGTGCCAGGCACTGTGCTTGGTGCTGACCGAAGCCAGATACACATGAGTTCTGATTTTGGCTGTATCTTTTAAAAACTTTGAGCCTCGGTTTCTGATCTGTGAAATAAAGACCACATTTATAAGATTGCTGTGAGGATTAAAAGAGACAATGTATTTAAAGATAAGACACTGGGTCTAGCACATAAAAACAAATGGTAACTGCTGCTATTGTTATTATCTTATTGTTATCTTTAATTATTAGACATAGTTTCTACAAGTAAAGCCAAAAAGAATAGAGAAGCTTTCCTGGAAGTGTTGCTGCCTCTACAAAAGCTTGAAGGATAGAGTGGGAGTTAACAAAAGGGTAGAAAGGAGAGCGGTGCTTTGGGTGGAGGCAAAGGACATTTGAGAAAGTGAGAACAGGATTGTAAAGGTCCAGAGATGAGAGAGAGCCTAGAATGTTCAAGAAGTACAAGTGGTTTAGTGTGCTAGATACACAGGGTGCCTGGGATGGGATGTTTTGGGAAAGGAAACTGGATAGGAAGCAGGAGCCTAATCATGAAGAAGCTTTAATGCAGGGAACACCGTTACTACGGATGGGATGTTTTGGGAAAGGAAACTGGATAGGAAAGCAGGAGCCTAATCATGAAGAAGCTTTTAATGCAGGGAACACCTGTTACTAATTTGTCCTGAAGGCTGGAGGAGTTGGCGCTGTTTGCATTTTGAAGGATTTCTAGCAGGAAGGTGAAGAGTAAATTGTGAGAGGGGCAGATTTGGAAGCAGGCCAGTTAGTAGGCCTGTGCAGTAATGTATGTGAGATATGTGGAGGGCCTAAACTTATGGTACTGACGGTGAGGATGGAAATAAGTAGACAGATCTGAGACATGTCAAAGTGGAATTGAAGGGATTTGGACATTGTTTAGATGGGGATGGTGGAGTGAGGCATAAGGGAGGAGGCATTATAATGACTCCTAAGTTTCTAGTGTGGGCAGGTAGTAGTATTCACTCAGATTGGGAACAGGAGAAGAAGCAAGTGTTGGGGGAAGAGTAGTGAATTTAGTTTTAAAGAGTTTAAGGTACATGGGGTGTCAAGCAGTTGGATTGGTTGGAATTTAGGAACTGGACTCTGGTCTGCAGATCGGGGACTCATTACCCTGTCGATTTTAATGGAAGACACACAAGTTGATAAAATTGCCAGGAAGAATATGGAGAATGAGAAGAGAGCAGAGAAAAAAAACCCACAGACCATAGCTTTTGAGATAGTCCTCCATAGCACTTCTTTTCTACCTGAGAGTATTTTTGTACCCATTTGTGTTTTGGATTAAGTATTCACCATCTAGCTTCACCTAGAATGGATACTGGAGACTAAAAAGGAAAATGTCTCTCACTCAGAGTATATAGAGTCACAGTGCAAATTACCTGCTGAATGAATGTTGAGAGCCAGAGCAGTTGGAGATCTGGGCAGTAGTGTCATTTCTGGGCAGCACTCTGTACCTAGGTTGAAAGAGGCACATGGAGATGTCAGGCACTGTCCACCATTTAACTTTGTATTTCTCTGGTTTTAAACTGTTATGAGTTTTCTTCCTCCTTTCAGATCCATGAGACAATAGAAACTATCAATCAGCTGAAGACCCAGCGGGAGTTCATGCTGAGCTTTGCCAGAGACCCTCAGGGTTTCATTAATGACTGGCTTCAATCCCAGTGCCGGGACCTCAAGGTAAAGATACCTAGTTAAGGGGCAAGGGACTTAGGTTATTGAGGCACACATTTATTTGCCTTATTTCTTTGGCATCCGATAGAAGAGCCAGAGGGGTCAGTGAGGGAGAAGATTATCTTTAGCACATTTCAGGGTCCGTTTTACAATTAGGGAAATGGAGGTGGAACCATGAAATGTTTATCTAATACTTAGTATGCTGTCACTGTGCACCATATTATATAGGATACAAAGTGGAAAACTTGATCTCTGTTTCAAAGCAGCATGCATTTAGTTTCGGGAAACTAGGTTAATAGGATTTAAAATGTAGTAAACCATGTAGGACATTATTGGAACTCAACAGTATCAATAAGATAATTCAAAGGAGAAGGGAGATTGATGAGGCTCGAATAGTTGGGACAAGCTTCATGGAGAATTTGGGATTTGAGATATTTTCCAGGGAAGGGAGCATAAGAGCTCAGGCAAGAAGGTAGGAATGAGTACAGAATGTACTGAAATGTGCCTTTAGTTCTCGCCTATCCTGTGGTGACGGACTACAATTATAGAGACTGAGCAGAGGAACAAGGGATCCAGAAAGGATCCTTGAACAAGGCAGTTACTTGTTGGTAGCAGGGGGTGACTTGGAGTGATGTATTAATTCACAGTTTATTAGGGCTACCATAGTACAATACCACAACTGGGTGGCGTAAACAACAAAAATTTATTGTTTCACAGTTCTGGACACTAGTAGTCTGAAATCATGCCGTCTGCAGGGGTTTTTTCTGTCTGAGGGCCGAGGGAGGGAGAATCTGTTCCAGGCCCCTCTCCTATCTTGTGGTAGCCTCAGGCATTCCTTGGTTTGCAGAAAGTGTTCTCTTTTTGTCTTCACATCATCTTCCCTCTGTGCATGTCTGTGTCCAAGTTTTCCCTTTTTATAAGGATACCAGTTATATTGGATTAGGCCCACCCTAAAGACTTCATCTCAAATTAGCGATCTGCAGAGACCCTCTTTCCTAATAAGGTCACATTCACAGGTACTAGGGGGTTAGGGTTTCGACATCTTTTGGGGAGATACAATTCAATCCTAACAGGCATGAAAGAAGGAAACAGCGTATTCTCTTTCTACCCCCCTGCCATCTCCTTCAGACCATGACTGATGTGGTGGGTAACCCAGAGGAAGAGCGCCGTGCTGAGTTCTACTTCCAGCCTTGGGCTCAGGAGGCTGTGTGCCGATACTTCTATTCCAAGGTAGGCATCTGGCCTGCACAGGGGAAAATGACAAGGCAAGGGGTCTGTACCCCTGATGAGGGTCAGTGTTATTAGCTGTCAACTCCTAGTTTATCTCATCTTCCACTCCTTTTGCTGTTTTCTTAGGTGCAGCAGAGACGACAAGAATTAGAGCAAGCCCTGGGAATCCGAAATACATAGGGTTTCTCCTACAGCCCTGATTTGGCTGCACCGATTCTTTATGTGGGCCCTGCGCTGCCTGCCTCATAGCACCTGCCTTGGTCTTGCTTGGGGCCTTCCAGGGGATGCTGTTGGTTCAAGGACAACACCAGAACGAAGAGGGTCTCACATTTCTGTCTCACGAGACACCTGTTACCCTCTTCCCCCACCCCACCCCACCCCTTCCCACCACCTAGCTTCCCTTTGCCCACAATGTTCCCATGTGCCTCTACCCTCCCCTGGTCTACATAGGACCTCTAGATAGTATTAGAGAGAACTGTAGTGGTAATCAGTGCATTGAATGGATTGGGCCTAAGGCCAAGTGGTCTTCCAGGGGACCAGCTACACTGATCCTGCCCTTCAGAGACCCAGGAGTTGGAACTTCAGTCCCTTCTCCGAGACTCAGGCCTGGGGGCATCCTATAAGCTAGTTGATTTTGGCTCTCCTGGTAACAGAATCCAATTTCCTTCCTTTCTTCCACGGGTTTGGAACAAACTCTTGCCTAACTTGTTGCCCTCTGGCACTAAAGGAACCCTGGCTTTTGGGCTCCACTGAGCCCCAGGTCAGTCCGCAGCCCTCGGGATTGGCGTGCTGTCTCAGTGCTTATTCCCTCATCAGGGGTCCACATCAGTATTGGAGTTTGTTCTTGAACGATTGCTCCCTCCTCCCAGCATACCCCCAGTAGCTGCTCATTTTAGGATTCCCTCCCATCTGTCCTAACAGAGGGCATTTGGATGGAGGAATCTTGCCTTTCCCTGTCAGCCCCAGAGATCTAACCTGGGGTACTGTCATTGCCAGTGGAGGCTGTTCCTTCTGCTGTTGCTTGGAGGTGTGACTCATTTATTTACTCCACCCTGCCTCCCCAATCTCTTCATGGAGAAACAGGCCTAAAATCAAACGGGTAATAGCCCTGGGCCATCCCTGTCTTCCTGTTCCTTGTCTGCCCTGTTGACACAGGTGATTTATAGGGCACTGAGGAGTGAAAGCGCCTAGGGCTGGAGAATAGCTCTGAGTTGGGTTTGTGACTCCACCCTCTCCCTGCCTCACAGGATTATGACTCCCCAGCCCCTGCCCTCAAAGCTTCAGACTCCTCAGGTAGCAGCAGGACCTTGTGATCCTGGCCCCTTGGAACTGAGATGGTTTTGCATCTTTCCAGGAGAGCCTCAGATTCTTCCAGGTTGTATCACCCCAAGTTAGTATACCCCAGGCTCGCAGACTCAAACACAGCAGGGTGGGAGACAGCTGGGCATAGAGGGGGAATTCCGTTCAGCATGGGCTCTAAACCCACAGAACTGACAAAGCCCCTGCTTCCCCACCCCCTCCTCAGGCTCCTGCGAGCACACCACCCCCTCCCCCCAACTCAGTATCCTTGCCTGTTTCACACTGGGAACAGCAGGATTTTCTCCCCATCTTCCCCTTCCTGCCATTATCCCACCCCTCCCTTGAAAGCTTCTTCCCACAGTGACACTGGACAACCCCTGTCTTTGGGGCTAGAACCATGAGAAGGAAGCTCAGCACTCCTACACAGTGTCTCTGTTAAAGATAACTTTTTATCTGAATTATTATGTTTTTTCATGGACCAAAATTTTTTTTGTACTGTTCCCTTATTGATGTCACCCAGTTTTAATAAAAGAATCTTCCGAAGGATGAGTCACCGTACCTACAGGGAAGAGCCCTTCCCTGAACTCTTTCTCCTCCAGTACCATTAGCCATGCTTATGGTGTTTGTTCATTTTATTTAACAACTATGGAACACCTGTTGTGTGCCAGCTGTGTGCTAAGCACTGGGGATATGGTAGAAAACATGGTTTATGCCCTGTGGACTTCAGGTCCTCATCTTAGAGCTTGCTCTGTCAGCCCCAGTGGTCCAAGTAGGGTAGCTGCTGGTGGGATCACTGAGTTTCATTGTTGGGTCTGAGAGTCCTGACGAACTTGAGCTTTAAAGGAGTTCCACTTCTCAGGGCTGCTATGTAGATTCCAGCCAGAACCTACAAAGCTAAAAACTTTTGTTCTCTGTGCTTGCCATTCTTAAGGTTCCACTTTCATGGCCCTGAGTAAGAAGTCTGAAGACCAGCATGGAAGTGCTTGCTATGTTGTCATCCTCACACCATAGACAACCCCTCACTGGCAGAGGTGGGAGGACTTTGCTCAGGATTGATATTCCCATTAGCAGAGTAGTTCCATCATGGTGTTGCCTGCCTCCCACCTGGTGGCTCACTGCTTTCCTGTACCATTATGTAGCTTGGTTGTACCTAAGTAGGAGGTTTAGAACATAGGATGAGTGCAACCACATTCCAAAGTTAAAAGATTATCCTTTGCCTCCATGGTTGAGAACAGTCAAGTATTGCCTGCCCACAGTCCAACCCACCAAGGATGCAATCACTGTTCCCAATCTGGAACTTGGGAGTTTATCAGACTTGAAAGCAGGA